CTTGTGCTCCCCTGTGCTCCCAGAGCAGCTCTCCGCTCCCTTCAGGGCTGAGGCTTTCGCTGCCCCTGTCCCTGCAGACTCTCATAGATCAGAGTCAGACCCTCCAGCTCTTTCTCCATCAGCTCAGCCTTCAGCCTCAGCTCTTCGGCCAACTCTGCCTTCGCCCCCTCACGCAAGTGCTTTGAATCACTCCAAAGGCTGTACGCATTTCCAGCAAGGGACAGACCTGTGGTGGCCATACCCACCATTCGGGCTCTTTTGGTCATTGAGAGTACAGTGTCTTTAAAGGCTTTCTGCACCTCCAAAGTTTCCTTTACTGAGAGGTTTCCACCGGCTGTGAAAACCTTGGCATTGGCTGCCAATTTAGGGTTTTTCTGGGCCAATTTGATGGCTTTGATGTTCTTCCGAATGGTTTGTGAGGCAGTGACACAGTTCGTTAGGATGGATATTAATGCACCCTTGTTCTTCATCAGAGCCTTCACAACTTCTTCCCCTTTGCCACTGTCAGTTGGCATCGTCTGACTGGCTCTGGATTCTGCTGATAACATTTCGAAGAGTTCCACAGCACTGATGGTTAAACTGGAGGCTGTAGCTACTGTTCCCAGCCCTGTCCCAGCTGCCATGAGCCCCAAACTGATCCCTGCTGTTACAGGTGCCAAAGCCAGACCACTGAAGGTCAGAACTCCAGAGAGGACGCCAGTCGAGCTGGCCGCCATGCTGTAAATGGTACACTTTCTGTGCACCTTCTCAACTTTGTCTGCTAAGGCGCGAAGCTCCCTGATATGCTCTTCAAGCTCCCTTTGCACCTGAGGAAATTCTCTCAAAAACTTCTCTCTAGCCAACTGTTCTTTTCGAAGCTCATCTGTGTCTTCCCTCGCCCGGACTTGGCAAAGCTTTTTCAGAGCTTTCTGTAGTGCATCTGCCTCATCCCTGTAACAACAAAGATCAAGTCATTAATAAAGGTCTGTGGTATATGCACACAAGGGAATATTATGCAGCATTGAAAAACAAGGAACTCATGAAATATTATTCAAAATGGGTGACCCTGCAGGACATTATGCTGAGTGAACTAGTTCAGTCACAAATGGAAAAATACTGTATGGTGCCATTGTTGTGAAACAGGACTGACATCGGAGTGGGGGGAGACTGAGATAGATGGGATAAATTATGTATACTGCTTTGAAATAGATGAGGGAGAGAAGTATTTAAAAGGAATATATGATTAGGTATTATTGCCATGACAGGAGGCCAGAATGAAGGCTGCATAGCGGAGTGAACTTGAGGGGAGGAATTGTATAACAATGAAAGAATTTTTCTTTTACATTCCAAAGAGAAGAGTGAATTGGCAGGGAGGGCTGGGAAGGGAGAAAAGGGCAACAATGAATGCATGGAAATCCAAAGTTTCTGTAAATTTTCATTAATTATTATTATTAATGCTAATAATAATAATAAAAATAAAAGAAAGGTAGTTTTCTTATCTGTAAAATGGGCTTGAGAAGATCTATCCTTCACAAATCTTATTATTATTACTACAAATAAAATGGGAAAGAATTCTAGAAATACAAAGACTTTTGTTCCAATGTAAACATCCCATAGTTCCGTAGGACTGATGTAATATGGGAGTAAAAGAGAAAAAAAATCATCTTCAGGTGGTAGCTAAAGGTGTTTTCTCCTTCAAGGGTGATCCAGTCCATTGGCAAGAGACAGTCCGAGCATGGTCTGACATCTTCCCCTTGCCCATGATGGAACCTTGTAATTAGAACTGAACATGTCACCTGATATTTGGGTGGGTTGTGAAGGTAGGCTGACTTTGTTCTCAGGGCTGTTTTGATCCAAACACATCCCACTGCAGAGAATGACCTATCAACACATCTCTCTCCACTTGCCCTGATTCATGTTACTCTGTGTAGGAAAAGTTTAGCTACGTATAAACATGATATGTCATTAGATATGTCCCTTGTTATATTGTTCCCAGCAGGGGAGGAAGAAAATCTTTCTTGTGTATCACAAGAGGGGTTCATGCAGAATTCCACTTTGTGCCAACTGAATACGAGACTGCCTGGTCAGTGGGCACCAATGCTCATCCTTCAAGATGGCCTTCCTCTGTCTCTTCTGATTATGTTGTTGTTAGATGCTGTCAAGTCGAATACAACC